CTGGTGAATTCTTGGTCAAGTTCTCATTCCTGATTTGGAGGTCTGTAGTAGACTCCTACCATTGTATCCCCTTCACCACGTTCCCCTTGTATTCTAACCTAAAGCGTCTCCAGTTGTCCTCCCTCAGTGCCAATCTCAACTTGCAGGGACGTGTAGCTCTCCTTCATGTAGAGAGCTATATCCCCACCCCTTTTTTCAGCATGATCTCTCCTGTACAGGGTATAGCCATTTATACCTGTAGTCCAGTCATAGGAGGAGTCCCACCAGGTCCCCATTATCCCTATGAGATTGTAGTCGTTTTTGTTTAGCAGAAGGACCATTTCCTCCTCTTTATTCCCCAAACTCCTAGGATTAGTGTACAGGCAAGTAAGTATGCCATTGGAGGCCCTAGGCTTTCTTGTACTCATGGAGAAGTGCTGTTCCTGGGCTGGGGTAGGAGTGGGTATCCTTGAGCATCCTAACCTGCTGATTTTGTGGTTGATGCTTGGTGAGCTTGCTCTGGTGGTTATCCGCCCATCTCCCAGCGAGCTTAGTGTAAAGCCCAGTCAAGCAGGTCAGCCATTCTGGCTGGGAAGAGCTTCTTCCCCAGTGGAGTAAGGTGGAGGCTGTCTCTTCCCAAGAGACCACTGCCTCTCTCTTTGAAGTGAGGACTGTGGTCGTAGAAGCCAAAGTCTTCATGATGGCATCAACACCTCAATCTTCTGTTTACTGCCTCAATTCATCTCTCCCTCCTCTGCCCGTGCCCCGTAACTGGAAGGATTGAGGAAAAAACCTGCATAATGCAGGTGTCAAATTTACTCCCAAGTTGGTGTAAGTTGCCATATTTGCTGCACAGTATGGATGTGTACGTGTAGACACCGGCCATGCTGGGTGGTAATTTTTGGTTACTGTACAGTAAATATGCACATGTAGACGTGCCCAGTGTGACTAACCCCTTTGCCATTCTTCCCAGAGCTTTCCCTCAGAACTGTGGAGGAAAAGCAGCAAATTCCTCTCCAGGCAAAAGTGCAGGCTGCCATACAGCCATGCACAAAGGACTAGGCATTTTCACCATGCAGGGCTACTGAAATATCACCTACCCATAACTAACTCCCCTGAAAGAGCTTAGATATGATTTGAACCCTCAGCCACTAGTGCACAGAAGACTAGAAACAGCTATTGCATTTGTCCCAAGAAAAACTGCGTATGTTTGCCCATGAACAGAAAAGTCTCAGGATTGGCAAGGACGCATATTACCCTTGCAATGTGGGTTTAGTGGCTGGATGAAATGCCACTTTTCTGCCATTGATACAATGATGCAATCCCTAGATAACCATTCAGATGCACTTTGTGATGTCCCAGGACGAACTGTTAGCAGTTCCTATCTTGTGAACCTTTTTTAGGATTTGTCTTGAGACAACAGACATGGACGTCTGAATGACCACACTTGATCCCAAGACAAAATACGACACCTGTTTATAGTTGCAGGCTGGCACTGTTTGTTGGCTTAGTGCACAAAGAAGTGTTGGTGCAGGTCTGGGGAACAAGCAGGAAGGTGGCTGGAAGGCTCTGCAGCATCCAACGTGTAGCTCACCTGAGTGAGAGATGCAAGCATGCCATTTCTGGGTTTGGGAGACAGTATTGTTTCCCTAACCCACAAACGGAGTCCATTAGGGCTCCTTACAGTGCTGATCACTGGGCCACACCAACACACTTGAACGGCTGCCTTTTCTTACCGAGTAAATTAATTTCACGCATCACTAGTTAGACAAGTATAATTATCATTGACTAAACACCTCTCACACCAGATTTTAAAATGATGTCTTTTACATTAAATTAGGACCTGTGTTTTTCATATTGAGTCAGGGAACTTGACACTACAGAATAAACACCAGACTGGAAGCTCTTGTGGCCAGGAGCTGTCTTTTGGCTCAGTGTTCATGCAGCACCTGGCACCGCATAGGTCTGGCCTATGGCAAGAATATTGGCAACTTCACCACTAGACACTGAAGCAGCACCAGCCCTCAAAGTGCTTTATACAGATCAGTATCATCTGTGTTTCACGAGTGGGAAAACTGAGGCAGAGAGAAGTGAAGTGCCTCGATCAAGGATAATCAGCAAGCTAGTGGCAAAAACAGTACTAGAACTCACAATCTCCTGAGTCCTAGTCCAGTGTTAGCTCTGATAAACTGCACTGTCACAAATAATAAGCACACCCTCAGTTGTCCCCATGTGAAATGCTGAAATGGCACACTGCCTTTGTGCCCATTAACTTTAAGAAAAAGTGTCAGTCCCTAAAATATGAGAGCAAATGCTGGGGCAGAGCTAAGGTTGCTTGGGAGCTAGTTGGTGGAACCGTGAGTGAATCAGAAGCTAGGGTTGGTGTCACAGCAGCCTGTTGGTTTCTTTTGCTTTCCAGGCATGGGGGCTTTTCTGGCCTTGTTCAGTGGCCTAGTATGTTTTCTCGCAGTGTGCCCATAGCAACCTTAATTGTGGCAAAGTTTTTGGCTGGCATTTTCCTTTGTGGTTTGTATGCAAGTAGCTGTTTTAGTACCATACTGTGCTCCTGTATTTTATATGGAAAGCCCAAGGTACTTTCCGTGGGAGCTTTCAGGATTGGCTCAGACTTTTTTGGCCAGGTGCAATAAGTCTTGGACAGAGCAGCTGTGACAATGTGACCTTCCTCAGCCTCTCAGCCTGGGGTCCTTCATTCAATTTTGCTGTCTGCCTCCAGTCTGCAGTCAGTGTCTTTATTCTCTGACTGCAGCCTGCTATTAGGACTCCACTGCACTGCTCACCCTCTGTGAAGGGCCATCGGATGTGATCCCTGCTGAATTAGGTTCTCTTGAGCACATCTTCCATCTGACAGACCTTAGCTAATCTACAATGATAAGGATGTCTGCACCTTGGATCTGTAGGACTCCTGCCCTGACTCTGTCTGGGTGCTTGATTCAATTGCTCTCACACCCCACCCAGCTCCTGGTAGTTGCAACAC